AGAAAGACATCGTGTTTGGTAAAGTGGAGGGTCAGCAAAAAAAAAAAGGAAGCCCCTCAATGAAATGGATTGATAGTGGCAGAAACAATGGATTCAAATATAACAACAATTCTAAGAATCGCACAGGACTAGGCACCTAACAACTACTTCTAGCCATAGTCTATAACTTGCACCAAACATTTTGCCCTTCTCGGTCTGGGTAAGAGAAAGTAAGAGAAGATATTTATAAGATGACATGATTCAGTTATGGATGTTAATATAGTTAATTGTAGTTATAAAAACTTGAAATTCTAGCATGGGTATAAAATGAGCCATCTCAGAGGCTGAAGGCGGGGATATCATTACCATTAAAGAAGATGAGTCAGGAGCGGAGCACATATTTTGGACTCTGAGATCCCTCCCTCCACACTGAAACTCCTCGGCTCAGGACAGAGAGCTGTGGCACCAGAGGAGTGACAGAGGGGCAGCAGCAGTAGAACCAAGAAACCAAGCACGAGACAGAGCAGCGGGCTTCCCAGTCCACAGAGCCAATAAAACTGAGTGACTTTTTGGGCAGGAACCTTGTTTGCACAGTGAGGTGCCTCCAGGCATTTAACTGGGGTGGGGGTGGGGGGCTAGGTGTGCTGACCCACAGAGCTAAACCAAGAGCCTTGGGCTGAGGCTTATAGCAGATAGAGTACCTTTGGGCATTTACCAACAGTCTTAAATGATCTTTGCTGGGTATGGCTTAGGAGAGGCTGTCCAGACTTGCAGGAAGTGTGCCCTGAACATTTCTGGCCCTGAACTGTAACCTACAACTTGCCTAATAAACCCCATACTTGTGCAAATTGTGTCTGTCCTCTGTGTGGCCACTGCCATGGATTATTGAACCCAACAGAGAAACAGAGAGTGCTGTGGGAAGGAAAGTGTCATTTTTGTCAGGGGTCTTTCTCTTTTTTGATGACTTCTACCAAGCATGGGCTCTTTTTCCATGGACTGTTCCCTCCTGATAATATGTCTAAAATATCTGAGATGAAATCTCACCATCCTTGTTCCCACCGAGCATTCTGGCTGTACTTTTTCCAAGACAGATTTGTTTGTTCTTCTGGCATTCTCTGCTACTTTTGGTATTCTTCACCAACACCATAATTCAAATCAGCAATTCTTCTCTGGTCTTCCTTATCCATCATCAAACTTTTAAATAAACATGAGGTGACTGAAAACACCCTGGCTTGGGTCAGGAACCCCTTAGTCTTCAAAATGACATTTTTGCTTCTCTAAACAGGTCTTATGCAGTAAATCTGCCCAATGTTAATAAGTCATTTGATTTCTTGACTGCTGATTCCATGAGTAATGACTGTACATCTGAGTAAAATGAAATCCTGATAACTTCTATCTTTTCTTCATTTATATACCATGATGTTTACCCTCTCAGCAAGCAAGGCTGTATCATCTGTATATCGAGGTTGTTAATGAGCTTTCCTCCAATTCTGATGACACATTCTTCTTCATATATAGTCTAGCTTATCAGAATAAAGACTGAGAAAATATAGTGAAAAAATACAACCCTGAAACACACCTTTCCTGATTTTAAACCACGCAGTATCTCTTTGTTCTGTTAGAATGACTACTTCTTGTTCTACGTATAGGTTCTGTCTGCATGAGCACAGATGAATGTTCTGGAATTCCCATTCTTCACAATACTATTCATAGTTTGTTATGATCCACGCAGTCGAATGATTATGCATAGACAGTAAAGCACAAGTAAGCACTAGACTGAAAGGTTGGTTTAAACCTTGATCTTTGCTGGGCATGGCTTAGGAAAGGCTGTCCAGACTTAAAACAAGTGTGCTCTGAACATTTCTGGTTTAAACCTACCTTGCTGTCTAGTGCTTACTTGTTCCAGTGATCAATGGATGTTTTCAGGTGTTTCATCTCATTTGAATCCTGAAAGCTTTGCTTCATCTACTTCATTAAGGTCAAGTCTACTTTGAGAAGGCAGCTCTTCCTCAGTCATATTTTGAGTGCCTTCCAACCTGAAGGGTCCCACTTCCAGCACTATATTAGACAACGTTTCACTATTACTCACAAGATTTTCCCTCAGAAGTAGACTGCCTACTCCTTCTTCCTAGTCTGTTCTTAGTTTGGGAGCTCTACTGAAACCTGTCCACCATGGGTGACCCTGCTGGTATTTGAAATACCAGTGGCATAGATTCCAGAATCAAAACAACTCACAAGCAATCACAGTATGACAAACTGACAGACATGTGAGGTTCAGAAATAGATCCACACTTACATATTCTATCAGGTGCTATTTTTGAAATATTATCTTTACTCCATGGATCTGATTAGGCAACGTTGTTTAACAGCAATTGAACACATATGTCCAGAAATATACCCACACATCTATGTTCAACTGCTTTTCGACAAAATTGCAAAAACAAATCCATGGAGTAATGATAATCTTTTCGACAAATATATGAGTATTTGAATATATGCATATAAAAAAAAGGAATTTCAATCCATATTTCACAATACATAACAACCATTAAAAGCCAAAATGGTTAATTGGCTTAAATACAAAACCGGAAACTTATAAAAGTTCTAGAGCAAGTCAGAGGAGAATACCTTTATGGACCTGGAGTAGGGAATGATATTTTTGATATGCCAGCAAGGCATGATCCATAAGGGAAACACCTGATTAATTAGACTTCATAAAAACATAAAATTTTCTGTTCTTAGAAAAGTATTATATCCAGAATACGAATATATAAAAAATTCTCAAAACTCAATAATAGGATAACCCAATTAAAAAACAGGCAAAAGATTTGAATAGGAACTAAAGTGCATATATGGAGGGCAAATAAGTACTTGAAAAGGTGTTCAACATTATTATTAAGCCCACTGCCGCTGAACTGATTCTGACTTAGAACAACCCTCGAGAACAAAGTAAAACTGCTCTATAGGGTTTCTGAGGCTGCAAAGCTTTATGGAAGCAGACTGCCTCATCTTTAGCCCTTGAAGTAGCTGGTGGGTTTGAACCACCGACCTTTCCATTAGCAGTCCAACATTTACTACACTGGGTAATCAGGGTTGTTTTTTCAACATCAACTGTTGTTAAGTACCGTGGAGTCAGTTCAGACTCACAGCGACCCTGCACAGGGTTTCTGAAGCTGCAAATCTTTATGGGAGCAGAAAGCCTCATCTTTCTCCTGTGGGACAGCTGGTAGTTTCGAACTACCGACCTTCAGGTTAGCAGCCCAATTCGTAACCACTACACTACAAGAGCTCCTTTTTCAACATCAATAGGAAAATGCAAATTAAAACCTACATACGTCTATGCCATGTGGTTACATTAATGACTAAAAAATTACAGTAAAAGAACAACTAAAATTAGTAAGATTGATCATATCAAGTGTTAGTAAGGATATGAAGGAACTGGAACTCCCATACAGTGCTAGAAATGAAAAGTAACATAGATACTTTTGAAAATGGTTTGTCAGTTTCTTTAAAACAGTAAAAAAAAAATTATAGACACACCTGCCAAATTATGGATTCTACTGCTAGTTATTTACCCAAGAGTAATGAAAGCATATGTCCACACAAAGATTTGTACACAAATATCCATAGCAGTTTTATTCCCAACAGCTCAAACCTGGAAACAATCAAATGGCTGTCAACAGGTAAGTGGATAAAAAAATTATGGGTATATCCCTCCAAAGGAGTACTACTAAGAAACAAAACACTATTAGCATACACAACAAGGATGCTTTTCTACAAGAAGAAGAAACCAGATAAAGAGAGTACCTATGGTGTGGCGCTGTACAATAAGCACTGGACTACAAGGTCGGTTTGAACTGCAAGGTTGGCAGTTCAAATCTACCAGTTGCTCCTCAGAAACCCTATACAGGGTCGCTATGAGTTGGAATCAACTCACCAGTACTTAAGAACAGCAACAACATAAAAATTTATAAAATATTCAAATTAATTTACAGTGACAGAAAGTAGATCACTCATTGCCTGAGGATTGGGAAGGGGCTGGGAGGAGTAGGATGTATAGGTTACACAGAGATCTAAAGAAACTTTTGGAGGTGATGTATATCTTCATTATCTTAATTCTGGTAGTGGTTTTATATATGTAAAAACTTTGCTAAAATGTCAATTAGTCAGTTATCAAAACTGGTTATGTTTATCTAGACAAAAGAAATCTGTCCAGCAGTTGTAAAAAATGAAGTAGGGCTAATAGATAATATAATTTTCTAAGATAGATTGTTAACTAAAAAAATATGCAACCATTTGTGATTTTTTTTTTTTACAGCAAAATGTATATGTCAACCAACCCATTGAACAAGTACTTTTACATGTAGTAAAAAATCTTTGAAGGCCATCCCAAAACTGAAACACCTCAGGAGACTAGGAGACTACGGTTTGGAGTGAGAAAAACTTCATTTTTCATTCATGTCTATTAGAACTAATTGATCGTTCCCACTTACGTTCATGATTTAAAAACATAAAATGACCCATCACTTCCACTTTTGGGGATCTGTCTTACAGGAACACATGTTCACATGCAGAAAGATATACACCCCACGCTGCTCACTGAACTACTGTTGCAAGATTTCATTGAAAACAGTGTAAGTGTTTATGCTATATTATAAAAGTAAAATAAAATATTGTTTATATTTAGTATCTTTTTATAATACGGAAAACAGCTTGACATACATATACATTCTTTCCCTCTTAGTTGCTGAAAAATCTGTAAGTACATAGACTACTTACAATTGCCTCTGGGGAGATATTGAGAAAGCAGGCAATGAAATGCTTTACTTTTTACGTTTCTGAATTCTAGGAAATTTCTTTTGGCATTGAGCATATGTATAATTTTGAATATGTGTGTGTGTAGGGGATAACGAAATGAAAATATTTTAAATTTTAAATAAGTTAGTCATTTTTGTTTAAAGGGCCAGCTTATTAGATGTGAAAGTGTGGTAGTTTTTGCACTGTTCTTAAAGCCAACTCACCCTTTTCCGCGCTTCCGATTTCTGGAAACACTCATGCTGTATGAAAGTAGCTGCAGCAGAAATCCTGGGCAGGGGCGTGTGATCTGCATCAAGCATACTCACTGCTCTCTCCAGAGTCATCTCCATGTCGGCATTCCTAGACAAACAGTCACAGATTCAGCAAAATACCAAACTTGCTCCCTCCTGTTCAGCAACCTGATCCTCTAGAGATGACTTGGCTGATAGTGGGAAATACCTAGAATGTCAGCTTAAATGAAACAACCAACGCCCAGAGATCAGGAGGTGGAGATGCTCGTAGCAGGCGTACACCAGCTCTGGTCAGATCAGTCTTTAATTTAAAGATGCCATCGAATTGAGTGGAACCATAAAATATACTAAAAAGAGATACTGATTTCTTTTTAAGATAAATATGTGAGGCTAACCCATTAATACATGTATGTGTGCACAGATGGAAGTGTGTGTAGTGTTGTGCATGGGTGGATGTTAGTGGGTGTGGCATAGTTGAGGGGATAAGGAATAATTGCCTCATGAATAAAACCTAACAGCCACTGCTTCTGAAACACATGTTTAAACATCTAAGTGTTACTTCATGAGTATTTAAGAGTATTAAAAGTGAAGCAGAACACTTTCAGCATCTATACTGAGCACTACATACTCCAAGGTATTAAGACTCAGAAACCAATTTTGAATAGTAAAAGTGCAAGCTATTACCAGTGTAGCAACAGCTTGCATTTGTGGCACTGTAGGATAAACACTTGATTGCAAGGTCAGTCTGAACTGCAAGGTTGGTGGTTCAAACTCACCAGCCGCTCCTTGGAAACCCTATACGGGATCACTATGAATGGGAACTGACTTGACAGCACTTAACAACATAAACAACAACAACTACAACACTAACCATTAAAACCAAAATTTGAGCCACTTATTTAATATATACATATTTTTTTAGAGGTGGAAATACTTAACATACATGAACTCCAATGCATTTACAAAGATACTGAAACTCTAAATTTTAACTCATTGGCGATTTTACATCTCTAGCATCCATCACTATGCTTGTATTAGCTGACAAAAGCAACTCATTCCTAACATAATAATTAGCTTTCTGTTTAATACAGATGTTTGCTTTTAAAGATTCGGCCATAATCTACCTCATAAGCCATAAATGAGTTAGGAAACTTTGAATTACCCAAATCTCTAACACCTACAACCCATTTCATTGCCTTAATCCTTTATTTTCCTAAACACAGTTCACAAAGAAGGTGTGCATTTACTCTGAGCTATTCCAACACACTTTACCACCTAAAAACATGTCTCAAACTGAATGAAGACTTCCTTAACAAGAAGGTTTGTTACAGCTGTTAGTGTTAGTTTTCTGTTTTGTTAATTGTCTCTAAAGTCCAACTCCACAACACTGCTTACATTCTGACCCCAGTCTGGCTCCATTTCCAATCACCCTCTTCCCTTTTCTTCCCACTCTCGGAATCTACTCTACCTTCAATCATATTTGTCTTCTCTAAAACACTGCATACCTCTTTCCAAAGTCACCCTTTTTTGTTTTCCTGAAAAGTTCTTCCTTCTACTTGACTAATACTTACCCATTCTTCAAAACTCAACTCAAACATCACGACTTCTGTGAAATGATTTCCCCACCTCCAGAGAGAGCTAGTCCTTTCAGCCTATCTTCTCCTACATCACTCTTCCCTTCCTCTCTCCCTCTTTCCCTACCACTCTTTACACCCCCTCATTCCCTTTCATAGTCCTTCCCTCTCACCTTCCCTCTTCCCTTCCCAGTCACTCATAAAACACTTCTTGATACCTGAAGAAATGTGACTTTGGAGGTGGGGTTGGAGATGTGGGAGGATTTAGGGAAGGGCAGTTGTTCCCTGAGCATATTTCCCAGAAAAGAATCTTTAAAATAACTGTTAACTAATACGCTAAAATGATGGTTCATTTCAACTGCAAATGTGAGAAAAGGCAGTGTAAAATACCGTTGGTCAGCATATGAAACTCTGAAGAAAAAAAAAAAAAA